AGGTGTAAAGGTTCTTCTGAGTCGTGGTGCTTCCATTGGCTTCAACGGACTTCGAACATCTGCTAAAGCAGCAGAATCTTCTCAAAATTTGGAGATTGTGAAGCTTATTTGCAGCAGAGCCGATGTCCAATACGAATCGCACTTCGAAAGCATCAGATCCATCCATATACCTGTCTCACAAAAGTCTGTAGAAGTCAATCAAGATATGGATATCTTCAAACTTGTCAATTTTCCACCAAAAAGTGACTTTGACGATATAAAAAGTGACAGTCTACGAATTGACAACATCTTTGACTTCACAGTTGGCATTGATTTCCGGGAAGTTCTTACAGGACACAAAAATATTTCAGAAATCAAGAATTTTGTTGAAGGATCATTGAAAATCTGCAAAACATATGATTTGGCATTTAAGATCATTACTATGTTCACTCCTTATGATCTTCGAACACTTGAGCCATTCCTTCCTTCCATATTAATCGAATCAACAAAATTCCACCTGAAATTAAAAACGAAATTTGGGGAATCATCGAAAATTTCATTTCTAAGAGCTCACCAACATTCAAAGCTGTTTATTCTGTCATCACAGGCAAGAATCTCATTGAACCAATTCCAAACCTTTCTTCTTTACTCTTCATTGCAACAAGAATTGGAAATTTGTCAATTCTTCAGTCACTTTTTGACAAAGGAGCAGATATTAATAGTGTTGAAGGATATTATCAACTCTTTTCACCAGCATTGGAAGCAATTGGTAAAGACAGATCAGATATCCTTGAATTGTTCATTGCAAACAAATTAAATGTTGATCAAATATATTCAACAGATAATTTCACATTGATCAATGCATCAATTGAATATAATTCAGTGAAATGCTTTGATCTTTTGATCGACAAAGTTTGTCTTCAACATGTGTGTGTTCAAACACCGATGATGGCTGCGTTGAAATTATTCGAACAAACGATGAATGATTATTTCATCAACAAACTTCTTGATAAAATTGATATCGAACATGAACTCATTGTTGATGAATCATTCGAATACTTTTTGGAGTTTCGTTCAGGAAAAATCACTGAATTTCAATATTTGGGTGAAAAGAAGCGCATTCACAATCAACCAAAATGTAAAACAATCCATTTGGTGGTCGGTTCCGAAATCTTGTCAATCAGAATGACCAACGAATTGAAGAAGACATCAACAACTCAGACATTGTTCAGAAGAAGCTTGCATACGATCTGTTCTCTCGTTCGCATTTCAAAGGTTTCGACACAGGAAAACAGCGCTATATTGAAGATATCACACCAGAAGAAGAACTTATGAATGAATATAATAATACTTTGTAAAAAATTATTTTTATTTTTTATCTTTTTTATATTTTTTTCCCAGGAATTTTTTCAAAGTTCTAATCAAGAAATGAAAAAGCAAACTGCATTTCTAAGAGTTTTTAAATTCTTATCCGCAATCTGAATGCCTATTCAGGAATTTCAAGAATAAATAAAGATTTATTTGGATTCAATTTCAGAATGGACTTTTGAATGTCTACCATATTTAAATCGGAAAGTTTATTAACAAATTTAGCTTTCTCTTCATATCACATCATTTTCATAAAGATTAAATCCTTAAGGGTGCCTATAGACGATAGACCACCCTCAGAAAAAGCACTTTTAAGGCTATTATATTGAGAACTAGAATCCGGATAATCCATTCATTCGAGTTCTAATAAGGTTAATTTTTGTGATGTTTACATTATCGTTATAGGGCACCCTTAAGCTATGAAAATTTTCCTATTTTCATTTATGCTAAAATGATTCAATAAAATTGACCATTAAAAGTTCAAAGATATGAACCTCTTGAAGAATGTAAAAATTATATTTGATACGCTATGCAATGAACCTAAATTAGCAAATTTTAAAAATTTTTGAAAATAATATAAGAATATTGTTGAATGAAAATATTCATGATTAATTAAAAAAAAAAAAAAAAAAAAAAAAAAAAAAAAAAAAGGGAGTGGGGCTTCCAGGCACTTCGTGCCTTCTAGCCCTGAGGATGAATGAGTATAATGAAGTTTTTTTTTCGGGGGATGGCTTCCAGGCACTTCGTGCCTTCTAGCCCCCGAAGATGTTTAGTATAAATGAAGTTTTTATTCGGAGGGCTTCCAGGCGCGTTACGCCCTGAAGATGTTTAGTATAAATGAAGTTTTTATTCGGAAAATTGTTAGTCTTCTTGGTCGAAAACATATATATAATGTTCACTTTTCACAAATTATATATGTTTTCATGTTTTGTCAAGACTTCTTCGTAAATGTTTTGTCAAGACTTCTTCGTAAATGTTTTGTCAAGACTTCTTCGTAAATGTTTTGTCAAGACTTCTTCGTAAATGTTTTGTCAAGACTTCTTCGTAAATGTTTTGTCAAGACTTCTTCGTAAAATCAGACAAAAATAATGTTTAGGGTAGAAGGTTAGATATAACCTCTTTTCTAACCTCTTTTCTACCCTCTTGAATTTGTCAAGATTTCTTCGTCATAGGCACGGAGATAGGACGGTTATTTACAAAACTGACAACACTTTGACCGAGTAGTTTTTTGTGCTGAAACAAAGTGTCATATAAACATCTGTCAAAAGCCGCTTTTTAACTTCACTTAAAATGCCACGTAAGCTACGTAAGAATATACGTAAGAGGAGAGAGAGCATTGAAACATCCAATAGTAAGACTAACACCACAACAACAGTTGCAACAACAAATGCTGAATGACCCCACTATGTTGCAACAAATGTCAAGCAATCCTATGCTTTTAAACCGAGTTGTTGGTGCACAGAGTGGAGGTTTAAGAGCGGCACTTTTAGCGAAAATGGCAGGCTATGGTGGAGCTGCAGACGGAACAGCCTATAACCCTCAAAGTCAAATGAATTTGAGTTCACTCAAAATCATCAATAAACAGATGTCAAAAAGTCAAACATAGACATACAGAAGCAAATAGGTGAAAACGAAAAGAAACTAGAATATGACAGACACACAAAGAAACTCAATGAGTTAAACGTAGAAAAAAGAAGAAAGAAGAACAACTGAAAGAACTAAGTACAGAGGAATATGCGAAAAAAGTGTCAGAAAAAGCAGCAGAAGTAGCAAAAATGGAACAAGATGTCATAATTTGAAAAACCATACTACTCAATATAAAGTACTGAAAGATGAAGAGATAAAACAAAAAGCCCTGAAGACATATGGATAGCGATGAGTATAAAAAAGAAGTTGAAGCAAATGTAAAGGCAGAAAAACTTTTACAGTTGCAAAACCAAACCGTACAGTATGAAAACTTAGCACAAGAAAGTAAAAATAACGACGCAGCCATGCAAAAGGCAATGAAAAGCGCAGAATATATAAAAGCTAATAATGACTGGTTAGATGCCCAAGCCAACGCCAAAGCAGCCCAACTTATAGGGTCAATAAGGACAAAAATACAAGCGGATGAAGACAGTTCAAATGAAGCTTTAATGAATGCTGACTTTAAGAACGCCTTCGAAGCTCTTCATAGTAAGGTGAAACTAGTGAACGACTTCTCATCTGGAAAGAAACTGAAGTCTGAAGGTTTCGACAAAGAGTTAAGAGAAGTAGCACAAAATATGACGAAAATAACAGATGCAGCAACGAGACAGGCAGTTCAAAGTGCCTATGACGCCGTTAGAGCAACTGTTGTGGAAGTAAAAAAAAGAGTTACAACAGACCAAAACAGACCTATAAATGCTTTCTTAAAAACGAAAAGTCAGGTAGGACATTACGCTGCAGATGGAACATATGTGCCAGCTGGTGGAACTTATATACCACAAAACCTCCAAGAGAAGCACCTGCACCAGGACTACCTAGAACATTTACATCGTCACATGGACACAGACACAGGCATGCACCAAACCCAACACAACAACCAACAGTTCAAAATCCAGCACAACAGCCACCTCCACAACCAACAGTTCAAAACCCTGCACAACAACAACCACAAACAGAGCAAGGACATAAAAGAAGTAGAGAACAAGGAAACCAAGAATTCTTAAAAATGCTTAAAGAAGAGTGTGGTTTCCCAGATAGTATGACTTTAGTGACAGATATAAAGAAGCTATTGGAAAGTTCAAGGATGGAAATACTGACCCGAACCTATTTAGCTTTATGGCTCAGCACCAAAACGGATATAATCTCAAACCTGGAAAATACAAGCTCGCTAAGGGATATGATTTAATAGCATATCATCCAAATGACATGGATGAATTTACTCCGAGATATTTGATGTCAGAGCTAAATGACAATTCAACTTTCGTCATGAAACGCGTAAAAAATAGAGACGGAACGAAAGAACAAAAGCTTATGAATGCGGATGACGTAGATAGGGAAATTGTTGAAAACGGTCTCGGAATATATGAAATGCCAGCAGATGAGGTACAAGAAACTCCACAGGAAGAAGTTCAGATACAACCAGACATGGAAGAAATAGTTCAGCAACAACAGCTAGAAGAGCCTGAAGGAAACGAACAAGTCCTTCCTTTGGAAACTAACTTCACAGAACTAGATGAAGATTTGGAACAGCCGAAAAATCTTGACCCTCAACAAGAGTATGCGGAGAATATGGAATATTTCCAAGAGTCTAAAAAAAATTCGGCTGACATAGTAGAAGAATATCGAAAAATGTTTGCCGACATACAAAAGACTCCAACATCAGATGAAAATATCCAGCATAGAATGGAAGAACTGAAAAAAAATGTACACAAATACAACAACCCTTTTTACTTACGAGCATTTAACGTTCAATCTTCGGATGAACTCGGTGAAATAAAAGGTTAAATTTCAAGAAAACATATAGAAATGAAACATTGTTTAAAGTTCATTCAGAACCTAACCAAGATGGAAACAAACCTACTTTTGTTTCTGCAGACGATGGAACTACAATGAGATGGGGTCATAAAGCTAATCCAGATAGGTGGTTCATAAACTTACAACCACAATTCCAAGAAGTTGTAGACGCAATGGAAGTCAATGGTGAACCAGATATAGCTGGTATTTTCAGCGCGGCTTTAATGCCATTGAAAGATATGAAACATGCAGATATTTTGGACCAGTATGAAATGAACATGGCTGATGGAAATATAACACCTGACGTTCTAGAACATTTATCTCAAAGAACTACACAGAACCATAGAGATGGTATATTTGGTGAAGAGTTTAGAAAGAAAGTTAGGGAGAGCGAAGGAAGAGAACCTATTGTACATGACCTTGCAAATGAAAGTTTACAAAATGTCATAAAAACTTACTTTGCAGACAATGAACTGAGAAGGGATGAATATTAAGAAAACTCAAATGGACAGTACCAAATGAAATGTTAGTATTGAAAAACATGTTCCTTGACAAAATAAAACCAACTACAGAAATAAACGACGCAAGACTGAAAGATTGGGTAAAAGCTTTCCCATTCACAAAAGAATATAGTTGGTAACATGGAAAGAAAACCAGAATGGCTACAAAAACATATATTTGGAAACGAGCTTATTCCATATGGACAGGCACTGTTTGAAGAGCTTGAACCAGAAACTCAGGACAGAGTCATGCAAACAATACGCAAAGACTCAAATACAGACTATGACAAACTCTTTCTAGGATATAGGTTACCTGAGATGGGCGACCAGAGCCAAAAGGCAAAAAGGACATGGGAAATTTGCAACATACTAGATGAACATAATGCAAAGATGCAACAACTTCAAGCAGAGGGCAATGAAGGAAAAAGAAGAGTTAAAAACTCAGTCAGGAAGAAAGTAAAGCTTGGTCGGAGTGGGTTCTTATTATGACATATAAATCCAACACAGACACCTTAAAACAAGAAAACCAATTGACTATATAATTTAGATATCACTCATCTCTGCAATGTACCGCCGCTCAGCAAATATCAACACGCCACCGTTTTGGAGCTGCCCTTGCCATGGCCCTGATTTCGTCACTGTCTCACGCCATGCAAGACACATCGCCCTAGAGGTCCGAAAACTAGTTCCATGAGGACAACTCTACAGAAAATATACCACTGCTGAATCATCACCTGGCACACCGTCCAGCGTGAGATTTGGCTAAACAGTTCTATCCACAACCGTCGAATATTGCTTGACGGACCAGAGATCTAAAAAAAAACAACCAAAAAAAACACACAAACAAACAAAAAAAAAACAAAAACCAAAAAAAAAGCAACAAGAATTACACTAAAAAATCCAACAAAAAACAAACAAAAAAAATTAAAAACACCACAAATAACACATAAAAAATAAAACAAAAAACAACAACCTAACACCGAAAATCATTTCATTCATATTTATCAAAAATTCTTAATATAAAAAACAATAAACAAAACCAAAAAACAAACAAAAAAAACAGACTCCTGACCAAATCACCAACAAGCAAATCAAACACACCAACACCAACGACAAGAAACAACAAATAAACTCCCACGACACCCCTGGCAAAAGCTACAGCATACAATACACAGCAACACAACATCCACCAGAAACCCACGCATTTCTCTCATTGAACAAGCTCTTTCTTATACGTGGAACAAGGACATTGAATAAAACCTTCTGCCAATTGTCTGACAAGAAAGGTTGCAATGGAAATTTCTATGTCGCGGATAACCCAATATGCTCCAGAAGTTTTCATGGGATATAAGATATATTCTAACTCTGACATTAGTGTTCAAAACAGTAAACATGGGCAACTATGAATGGTTCGCTTTGAGAAACTCAGTACAACCACAAGCTAGAGAACAAACAGACCAGTATGCAACTATTGAGAAAATAAGAAGACCTCGACCCTAACGTTCCAGGAGTTTATGTTAACCTTTCTGGACAACTGCAGCAGCAGTAACCAAAGTTAAAACTGAAACTAGAGTTCCTTTGTCATCTTTCCTCATCTTCAGGTTTTTAAGATACTTGCCAAACTGGGCAGGAAAAATTTCTATCGAACTTTACTCCAAGCAAAAATAACTTAGTCATTGCACCAACACAAGACCATTCACTCTTACGAAGTAGTGGGAACAAATAAACATGTCATTCGCCGACTTTTGCAAAAAACAAAGTTTGACTTAGACTTTGGTTTCTCAAACTCAACACTGAAGTAAACTATATTCAATGCTGCTGGAGATGCTTGGGACCCAGATTAATTCACATGCGAAAAATTTGAATGCAGAGGAATAGAAGCAGACTTGCAGTCAATATGTTGGACCAGATATTCAAATGCTTTAGCTGCCAAATATATTGCAGTTCCACTTATATGTCCCTATACACCAAATATCTGTCAAAGACTTTGCAGGTGAAGTTGGACAAACAAAGTGCTGACCCAGGTGCAAGAACAGATATGCTTTAACACTGCAATGAAACATGCAGATACTATGTTTTGTTACTGTTCAGACGAACTATAATGACTATTCTTGTTTCTACAACCCTGGTATATAATTATAAATTCATATAAACTAGATGGCAAATATTATCCAAGAGAAGAATATTCTACAGTTGAGATATGAGGGTCATACAACTTGACATTAGATGCTATGAACTTTAACAACAACTTCACAAACAAAACCATTAACCCTGAAATGCAAAGTTCTATTATGCCATTATGTGAAAGTATGTGGACTCCATACAGGAGGTCAAAAAACTCAATATACAAATAAGGAGACGTTTTCAAACTTTTGCTTGGCATTCCATTTGCTGACTTCAGAAGACTTTATGGGTGGTATTTCACTGTTGGTACTGTACATAATACAAATATACTGGTGACAGCAGACGGTCCAGATGAATTGAAAGCAAAGAAGTTTACAAAAACCAATAGCACTTTTCACGGAAGATGCTCTCTTGAAGATTCGTTCGATGAACCTGCTGGGGCTCCTCAGATTGGCATAACGACCAGCTTCCATCGAAGCAGATTTTGGCAGCAGGTCCCAGTCAAGTTGTTCTGAACTGACTTCTCTCCGTCAAAATATTGACAGTACGCCATTTTGACATAATATTGTATTATAAACTTACCTTTAGAATATCTGTAAGTTTTGAGTTATATTATTTGTCAACGTCAAAACTTTCACCCATCTCGGTATATACCAACTTTCTCTTTGCTTTATGAAAATATTTTGGCTTCAGCAAAGACTGCTATTCTATAACATTTTCCATTGTTTTGTGTAAAGAACTATTCTGTCAATGAACTTGTACGTTTGTGTGTGAAACTTTGTTTTGCTTCAATTCAAAGAGATACTCAAATACGTCCATCTTTTTTTCTTAGTAAAATGTCATTCCGAAAAATAGAAGGCGTATAAGTGTTTCAAAAGGTTTAATGCGGGCGGTGGCAGATGTTAAGTTAAATTCACAAACTCAAACAAACAGTCAAAAAGTGTTGTTGTCAATGTCAAAGAAAGAGATGTTGAAGAGGGGAAACCATACGACAGAAGATGGTATAACAATGAGTTTCCTCCGTAAAAGAACAACCCAACATACCCTGAAGTTAGCAGAGACTTAAGTTCTGTTGCAGATATTCGAAACGACTACCAACAACTTAAAGATAAAACTGAAAACTCAGGAGAAGATTTGTCAAGCTCTTGGGATATAATGTTAAACTTGGATCGAACACAACCTGGTAAAAGTGAACTCATATGTCATCGCACCTCATGAAGTTTTGAAAGAACATATTGAAAACTTTTGACAGAGGCAGAGACGATATAAACATCAAAGAATAGAACCCGACATTGCTTGCTGTGGTGTTTCATATAATGTCAATTGACAAGATATACGTTATGAAAGGAGGTGAAACCTGTAATTAAAGTATACGTTCCCAGGACGTCATTAAAAATATTGACGACCACAACATTTCATTAAAATTTACTTGCTAAGTAATGCGCAGAAGACATAGTGGTTAATTATAATATTCGACTAAAAACCCTGATCATATAATTCTATAACAAACAAACTTAACAAAGTCCTCAAGGACGATATTGTAAACTGACCTTAAACCACGATGACGACTAAAGCCTGTTTTGCTCTTTTGACACCAGAAGACTTTGTTTGTTGTGAATGGTAAAAAATAACTTCTTTGAAGATACTTACTCAGATATACCACCAACAGGTTTTGTTGATTATTTAATACTTTAAGGACGGATGTAACATGTGCTGCCAACTAGAGCAGGTTTTCATTATGTTTGGATGTCCGACTGAGGTTAGTATAAACGATATGAGCTATAATACAAAACTTATATCTGGTTTTATACCAACAGTTTCCTATAACAGGAAAGGTGTCATACAAGGTCTATCTATTCCATTGACTTTAAGTACACCTATTTTAATATTGTTTCAAACTTAGTTCAAAGTGCTATTCGAATGTCGACAGAAACTACTATGACCAAAAGAATACTCATGCGATAATACAACACTTTCTCTGCTGGTTTGCCTATTGTTCATTTCGAAATGCAGAGTTTTCAGCTTTTAGAAACTCAAACACTTTAGCAACATAAACTTAACCTTAGTTGACGCAAACTTTGTTCCTGTAAAACTTTAGTTCCATGTATTTGTCAATGACGGCAGAAGTTCGAATTGGAAGATGCAACTGGTGAAGTTATTGTATTACAAGAACAACTTCAACAACAAATAGCTCAAGCAAACAACAATGCAAACAAATGCAACAAAAAGTCAAGAATAAAAAAAATATTTTTTTTTAATTTATAAAAATGTACAGAATAGATGTTTCAGATTTTTATGACTTCCAAGCATTCAGAAATATGTGTCCATTTCGAGACTATAACAAAAGCAGTCGAGAATTTGAAACGTTTAGTCATTATGTTGACTCTGCCCCAGAATGTTATGTCATGAAAGAATGGGATGTTGTCTTTACAACAACCAAGAGCAACCATAGTTCTAGAACAAGAATGTAGACAGAACTTAAGAAAATAAAGTTGTACAAGTTGGTATGAAGATGTTAGATGCTTAGGGATATCTTATTGTCAAAGTTAGAAGATTTTTCAGTTCGTGTTATAAAGTTCTATACACCTCTCCAAACTTCTATTCTATCTTCACTGGATATAAATACGAACAAGTAGAATGGAAAGAAAATACTATATAGAAGCTTGGTTAGACCATGTCAAAGAAATTAATATGCAATGGAACGAAAAGGTTATGTAGTATATCTTATGTTGGTTTGCCAAACATCTTACAACATCACAAGTGCTAAAAATGAAACTGCTCTCATTAATATGGAACAAAAAGGAACTGGTAAGAACAACATTCTTCTTCACGATAATTTTGTGCAAACTTAGAAGGTTATTCGAACCCGA